TTGGACCTCGCACCTCATGCAGGGGCATCTGGAGGGGTGAAGTTGGGGCCTGAGCTGACCATAGCTGGCGGGTGATGAGAGTGTCGGCACCTGGTTGGTCTGGAACTGGCAGCGGTGACCTGACAGTGGTGGGGTGTCTGGTGGATTCGGGGATACTTCAGGAGGTGTCATGGTAGGGTTGTAGGGCGGTGGTGGTGGATCCTCTTCAGGAGCTTCCTGATAGATGGGTTTGGACAGTTTGGAGTCTCTGGTCCTTTGGGCCACAAAAATCCTGCTCTTTCGCTTATTGGCACAGAACCGGACCCAAGGGGGCGTGATCAGAGTAATCTCTAGCCATGAATCTATGTAAGGGAATTGGTCGGGGTGGCCGGGAGTCTTGGTCACGATTCTCCAAATTGCTCACATGGTGGGGAGGTCTAAGGTTCCTGTTGCCAGTCGACCCCGAATATGGGCCATTCATGTTCACAGAGGGCTCTAAGTCCACTGGGACTCAGTGTGTCGCCATAATGGCCCGTGAAACCCTTCTTAAAGTTCTGTAACGTGCATTTAAGGACTGTAGGCTTAGATTCTGCGCTACCCATCATAGACCCTTGAATGGTGTCACAGCTTAACAGACAAAGGGGAGGGAGGTTCTCTCAGGTGTCTGTCTGGCTGCGTCCTTCTTGGGAACTTAGGTGTGTCTTGGCGAAGGTGTGCCCGCATAAACTCGGGGCCTGGTTGCTCCCTTTAGGGGAGTGAATCACCTCATGCTGTACACCGCCGCCGCAGGACCGCAGGCGAGGACCCACTCACGTTCCGTAGCCGTGGAACCACAAACAGTCACTCTTCACTCAGTCTTCACTTATTCATTCAGAGAGGCAGAGGTTACACATTCCCACCCTGGGAATTCCCTGCACTCAGGAGGTGAGCAAGCTCGTCTTCTGGCGTCTGACGGGCCTGACTTGGGGACCTTACTTGGTCCGATGCCTCCAGACCTGATTTGACTTGTCCTTCCCTCTGGTGTATCTGGGCGAGTTCGGGACCCCGCGGTCAGCGAGAGCTCCCGAGGAGTGAAGATATTCTGCAAAATGGCGGTTGGCACCAGTTCACTTCTGTCACCAAGGTCCCACTGGTCGCTGCGGCCTTTCCCTGAACTGGTGGCTTCAAGGGGCCAGCGCAGTCAGTTTTCCCTATCAGAGAACCAAAATGTTACAGCAAGTGTTACAGCAGGTGGTTCCAAGGACAAACTGAGCGGCACACAGAGAGTCGGAGAATCAAAGTTTATTTGCTGGTGGGCTCTGAGAGGTCTTGCCACCAAATTCTGAGCCCTGTCTACCTGATTTTTCCCATTTTTATTAAGTTGGGGTGGTCCAAGTGATGGGGTCTCAGGTTGCTAAGGTAATAGGTTAGTTGATGCATCAGGTAATAGGTTAGTATTATGTTGGTGCGCCAGGTAATAGATTAGTTGATGGGCCAAGTAATAGGTATTATGCTGATGCGGGTCTTCCGTGAGGAGTGGGAGTCTCTGGTGGCTGAAGCCCCAAGTAATAGATGGGGGTTTTCCTTATCAATATAACATATGTACAGAAAAATTGTGTACACAAACCATAACTTATATCACACATCACCTTATCACAAAGTAAACACATCTTTTAACTAGCACTCAAGGGAACAAAACATTCACAGCATCTCAGAAGACCTCTCTGGGGACCCCTACCAATCACCAGCCCTTCTTTCCTCCCCTAAGGTAACCTCTTTCCTGTTTTCTAACACCATTGATTAGTTCTTCCTACTTATGAGCCTTTCATGGAACCATATATATGTACGTATGTATTTGTAGTGTCCAGCTTTTTTTTACTCAAAATTACGTGTGTGACATTGTTCCATGTCATGTGAAAATACAATTTCTGATAGTGAAAAGAATTAAGAAGAAAATTAAAGAAGGTAATGGTACAAACAGTGAGGGAAGGAAAATTTAATAGGGTAGTGAGGGATGATCTTTTCAAGGGATGACTTGAGATATAACATGAATGGCAAAACATTAGTCAATAAGCTGGGTTAAGAGCATTCCAACCAGAGGGAACAGAAGTGGAAAGGAACTGAAGTGTGAATGAACTTGACAGGTTCTAGGAAGAGAGGAAAGACCTTGTAGGGAAGTGGGAGGAGATGAAGTTGGAGAGGCAGGCAAAAGTCAGATCTTAGAGAGTCTTGTGGCTGGGGTATTTCGATTTTATTCTAGGTATTATTCATGTAAAGGAGATGTTTTTGATGTCCTTCAGCTTCCAGCATGAGCCACTTAATGGAGGATGGGAAGGCTTATCATTTTACTCATCAAGGAAGCCCTACAAAAGCGGCAAAACTAAGCAGCCATTGGGAATTAGGGGGAACATTAACATGTTGAGAGACCAAGTCATGATTTATATTAATTCAGCACATAATTTGCTTCTAAAATCAGATTTAGAAGATACTTTAGAAATTAATTATCTATTCTAACACTCTAAAAATATTCCTGTCAAGTAGTCTCTCAGTTTCTGTTTGAACCTGTTCAATGGGAACTCCCTTTTCAAGAAGAAGCTCACTTTGGTTTTGGACAGCTCTAATTTTTAGAAAAGTTTTCCTAATATTTAATAATAATAACTTAATACCTGTAACATTGATCATCACTTCTGAGTCTACACAGAACTGATAATTATCATTTATCTGTTGCTTCCCATTTGGTACTCGTGCAGCTGATTTTTGTTTTGTGTGGAGGGGTTTTTCTTTTTTTTTTTTTCACATTGAAGTGAAGGACTTTGAATTTATTTGAATTTACCTTTGTTGTGATTTCTGGAGTTAGAGATGGTCAGTCCATAGATGCTGTCCGAATCTCTTTGGACCTGACCCCTTCATCCATCAGTTAGTGATTCCTTCTGCCATTGTGCTCTTAGCAAACTGGATCAGCATGATGTCAGTTAATCATTATGTTCTTTATAACTTCATTATGCCTATTAAGTGCTATTGTAGTCTTATTTTTGTTACTTAGGGTTCCTGGGGAAGTACTTAAATACATTTATTTGAAACTGTTGACAGTTGACTTAACTTGGTCACATTAGTGATTTAAATTTCCCAGATAGAATATTAAGCTGTATTTTTAGTTCTAGGAATTAGCATTTGTATAATAGATTTTAAACATGATGCCTTAGCAGAAAATAGTGTTATATCGTAATTCTGGAATACATGGTATAGCATGTTGATAAAAGGGGCTTTTTGTGTTAGACTAAAATAGAATTTGAATAGTTTATAATGGCCTATAACCTGTGTCAAAGTCAGAATGACATCAGAAAGTGACTTAATTTTAATTTTTCCTCTTTTCTTGCCTCTGTGATAGAAGTTCCAGTGAATAATGAAATAATCAAAGGTGAACACAGGCTGGGCATAGTGGCTCACACCTATAATCCCAGCAGTTTGGGAAGCAGAGGTGGGAAGATTGCTTGAGACCAGGAGTTCGAGACCAGCCTGGGCAATATAGTGAGACCCTATATCTACAAAAAAAAGTTAAAAAAAAATTAGGTAGGCATGATGGTGGAGCACTTGTAGTCCTAGCTACTTGGGAGGCTGAGGCAGGAGGATCACTCCTGAGCCCACCCAGGAGTGAAGTGAGCTATGATGACTCCTGATCATCTGCCTGGGTGACAGATCAAGACTCTGTCTCAAAAAAAAAAAAAAAAGAAAGAAAAAAGAAAAAAAGTGAATGCAGTAGAAGGGAGAAAAGAGAAAGGGAATTTATATAATCCAAATTTGAATATTAGAGTTACATAGCCTTAAATGCTTTGAATTGTCCTACCTGACTGAGGTGCTAGACTTCATTGGTTTTGGAGTCATCCATTGATGTTTTTATTTTAAGTAAGAAAATAATTTTAGCCCAGTACGTGGAATGTACTGATTTTGCCCTAAATTTTTCAGTTGATTTATTGTATTTTTCTGAATATATTTAAAATATATCCTGTGGTTAAAATAGTCCATCACTTGCAATGATGTTGTAATTTGTGTCTTGCTCTGTTCTCGGCAACAGTTGCCTGCTATAAAGAAGGTTGACAAAAATTCTTACTGAGCGAGACATAACCTTTTTTAATTCCTAAAACTTGAGAAATGTGATTCTTAACTGAGAAAATATGAAAAAAATCCATCATTTTTCAAAGGGAAGAAGAAGATGTTAATTTGCTTCCTTCTTTTAAACCCCAACCTAAGGAAAAATGTAAAAAAAAAAATGTAAGTGATTAATTGGGTTTTACTGCTTTTGTATTTTCTCCTCAGGTTTGGGACTATTCTTACTATTTCTTGCAAAGGTTCATTTCTCTAAGATGGAAAGTTGGTGTGGTTAGTGCAAGTATATTTTAGAAGAAAAGAAGTCAAGACCAAACTACAGAAATTGCTTTAGTGGAAGACTTTCCCAAACTAAATATGAAGACAAAATTCCTCTTTCTGTAACAAAGATAAATCACCCCTCTGTCTACCTTTGTGTCTTATATCTACCTGTAGGTGAACATGCTCTACATAGAACTGACTGTGCCATTATCTACATATCTCTGTTGGTTTTCTTCTCTGAGAAATATTCTCTTGTGAGAGCAAATCTTTACTGTATTTTTGGACATACTGAGTCCCATTTAACAGGGAGAGTTACTTTTTGAGGTATATTTCCTTCAAAAAGGAAAGTGAATAAGGACTAGGGAATAAGGAACTTCAAACTACCCTCTTCCCTTCATCTCTCCTCAAGATTACCCCCCGCCTTCTAATTCTCTATCTTTCTACTTGATTTAATAGCTTGATTGTTGTAGGTACTGTGCTTAGCTAAATCTTGGTGTCTTTTTTCTCTCTAGGCTACTTCTACGTAGACATAATCAATGTTGACTGTTTGGAATTGAAGCATCATTAAAATCTTCTGGAAATTCTAATTTGAAAGAAGTGATAACATTTTTCTGAACAAGAAAAGAAGTGACTCCCTACGTGTTAAAAGTATTCTGGCAGTGGTCCTGTTTTTTTCCCTCCCTAAATTTGAAGAACTATGGAGAAGTGGTACTTGATGACAATAGTGGTCTTAATAGGACTAACAGTACGGTGGACAGTTTCTCTTAATTCTTATTCAGGTAAAACTTTTTTTTTGGGGGGGGCAAACAGACTGAGGACCTAGGTAAAACATTTTTACTGTTTAAAAGAAAGGTAAGTATTCCTTTGAATAGGTGTTTGTTTTGGGAACAGTTTACAGTTTTCTGACCAGGACAGAGAAGATTTTCAGGCTTTATTGGCATGCACAAGAACATACATTTGGCCAGGCGTGGTGGCTCATGCCTACAAGCCTAGCACTCTGGGAGGCTGAGGCAGGAGGATCGCTTGAGCCCAGGAGTTTGAGGTTGCTGTGAGCTAGGCTGACGTTCCTCTGAGTATCCACCCGTCTTTGGAGATAATGGTGCTTCTTTCTTCTGGGTACAGGGAGGACAGCTCTTACATGAGGGTCTTATGACCTGCTTCAGGGGAAAGTCAGTCTTTCCTGCATCTGCTGTTTCTCAAATTCCTTAACCTTAAAATATTCAATATACCAAGGTGCCATATTTTGGAGTAGCCTGGCCTGAACCCCATCACACTCAAGTGTGGAAGCTTAGGCTAGCTTGCTTAGTATTCCTTCTTTGTAAATGTGTATATAATTTAGGCAGACTAGACTACTTATGTATATTATTTAAATTTAAATTTTTCTGAAATCTCTATCTCTTACATTTTTAGAGCTGCTTAGTATGTAAATTAATTTACACAGGCCTAAAAATATTGAATAAATATTGTTTGTTGCTTTTAAATAATCCATGGGGAGTAGACAAATTTTGATTTCAGTATTCATTGATTACCATTTTCTTGCAGAGATTCACAGTTCCTCTGTACTTGATCCAAAGTGTTACCAATGTTTTTAGAGCAAATAGCAACATTTGAGCTGAAGAAGATTATTTTATTTTAATGACCTTTTTTTTCCCTAAGCTACATTGGCTGTTTCGGAGGAGAAGGTCATAGAGAATCAGTTTTTGCTACATATCACTCATTGTTAAAGTATGACTGTGTTCTATTTAATTGGTTAGTTTCTCTCAACTTACCCATTGCTATGGATGTATAAAAGGAAGATTTTATTATGGAAAATTTTAGCCAGATTCTTTTATGATGTTTAAAATTTCAATATAAAGACAGTATGTATTGTTAACAATGAAACTACTTGCTCTTTAAATTCAAACATAATTCTGAATAATTCAGCAATTAATAAAATGAACATTTAAGTGGTGCTTAAGCCCATTTTCCTGAGAATGAGACAAAATTGAAGCTCTATAAATATACATTAGAGTGTTTTCTTTATGTAATTCTGAATCTCATGTAAATGAATTTGTAGAATTAATCACTGTGGAAGGAATCCTTTTTGCCCTTCCCAAATGAAGCTCCCACAGGTACAGTTGGGTTGTCCTTCTGGGTTGCTTTAAGGGCACTTTAGCAGTTTTAAAAACTTAAGTACTAATTTCATAGCCAGTGTCAGCTGAATTTATTGAAGTAGGTCAGACTCTGGATAGAAACTTGTTTCCCAACCCTAAAGAGAGTCATTATCCATTCTTCTATTTGTTAGAGAATGGTAATAAATTCTTCCACATTGACCACAACTCTAGAGCAATTTCAGAAAGCCTAGATAGTTGGATTTTTTTCAGGTGCAGGAAATTACTTGACATCCTCTCTGACTTTGATTATCCCAGTGGATCAAAAACAAATAAAAACAAAACAAACAAAAAATCAAGATCAACTCTTCCCCCCCCAAAAAAGAAGCCATATTCAATGGTTGTATTCTTTAAAATAGAAACACACATACACAGACACACACACACACACATCTCTATAAAATAGACATGCAAAAATGCAATTCATTGAGGAATTCTTTTCCTTTTTAAAAATATTTTTATTGCGGGCCATTCTCTCCCTTTCAGTTTAATTAAACAAGTTTTTAAAGTATATGCTTAGCAATATATTTCCTTTGAGCTCTAGA